AGTTGTATATTTTTTTTTATTTTTGATGTTAATGCACTGTCGATTGCACCTATAATTGAGGTGACATCTGCCATGAACTTTTGCCAATTGTTCAATGTTTTGTATTGATGATCACTTTGTTGGTGCAACTTAATAAATAAATAAATGTAAGATTTGCCACACTCTATTGAGACATTAATGTTGGCAACTGAAAAAGTGAAGAAAAAGGTAACTGAAAATTCGAGCTTGGGATTGAAACATGTTGCGGTTCGACTGGACCCAAAAGACCAAAATTTTCTCCAAAAACACAATCGCATAAGAATCGCTAAAGACATGTCGAACCAGTCAAGTTCGACCTAAAATTTTTGAAACTCATTGTTACTTGTGACGAGATGTTGGTTTACAAGTTTGACATCCAAATTAGTGAACAGGGTTACGTTTTCACCAGATACGAGGCTCCAACCGACTTCTTTCTTTTTCCTAAATTCAAATTACCAGTTGGTGGCACTCGTTTTCATTCGGTAGAAAACATAAGGGATAATTCGCCGCGAGAACAGAACTCGATTCCCGAAAAATCATTAAAAAATATTTTGATGATTGAATTATTCGTTGGTGTAAGTGTATCGTGTTTGAAGGAACAAATTTTTAAGGTGATCAAATAACTTTTGGATGATTGACTAACATTTTGTGTATTAATGATCTTTTCTCGGTACTTTCTTGACAGATTAGTATACGGCTAAAGACAGGAGAAAAGGTAAAGGAAAAGAGTAGGCTTTTACCAATAGATGTGCCACAAAACAAAGAAAGGGAAAGGAAAAAATAACTATAAATGTGTGTACATACATATTATATATTTGTATAAGTTGGCGTCCAAAATGCTGGGAGTCCTAAACAGAGCGAAGCGGTACTTCACGCCTGGACGAAGACTTTTGCTTTATAAGGCACAAGTCCGGCCTCACGTGGAGTACTGCTCCCATCTTTGGGCCGGGGCTCCCAAATACCAGCTTCTTCCATTTGACTCCATACAGAGGAGGGTCGTTCGGATTGTCAATAATCCCATTCTCACGGATCGTTTGGAACCTTTGGGTCTGCGGAGGGACTTCCGTTCCCTTTGTATTTTGTACCGTATGTTCCATGCGGAGTGCTCTGAGCAATTGTTCGAGATGATAGCGGCATCTCGTTTTTACCATCGCACCGCCCGCCACCGGAGTAGAGTTCATCCATATTATCTGGAGCCACTGCGGTCATCCACAGTGCGTTTCCAGAGGTCTTTTTTGCTACGTACCATCCAGCTACGGAATGAGCTCCCCTCCACGGTGTTTCCCGAGCGCTATGACATGTCCTTCTTGTGGAGAGTATTAAGCGGTAGGCAGCGGCTTGGCTCTGCCCCTGGCATTGCTGAAGCCTATGGGCGACGATAACCACTCACCATCAGGTGGGCCGTATGCTCGTCTGGCTATAAGGGCAATAAAAAAAAGTTAAAAAATAAGCTTTAAAAAAATTGGTACAATTAAAATATCCTAAGTTTACAATTAAAATACAATTAAAATTATGACGTGAATTCGAAACTCAAGTTGATTATTTTTTTATTTTTATTGCCTCTATAGCCAGACTAGTATACGGCCCTTTTGATGGTAAGTGATTACTGTCGCCAATCTGCTGCCCACCGCTAAGTGCTTTCTGCAAGCCTCGTTAGAAGAATGAATTGACTGAAATAATCCATGTTTTAGTTAATCTGTACTATAAAGCTCTCAAACAAATTAATGTCTTTGCACTTTATGACGCAATGTGTTTAATGCAATTGAATTAAACACACACAAATTGAGATAAAATCGTGACTCGTTGTTGTTATTGAAAGCGAACCTTTGGCTTTGAATCGACACATTGCGTGCATTGCTTGTAATTATAAAGTTCAATTATTTGAAGTTAATTCATTATGACGTTAAAATGAAGTCAGTTTTGCGATACAATCAATTCATGACTAATATTTGATAGAATTAGTCTTATCATTTCGAGATATATTTTGCGTGTACACGATGGAAAAATATGAGTTTCGTTTATCTTTGGCTAATATTGGCTTAGGATACGGATGGAAGTACTCAAGCAACGGATGTTTGATTATTGAATTTACCGAAAATATATCTTTAGGTATTTGTCATTCTTAATACTTTCTCGATAATTTCTTAGTTTTAACGGGTTTTTTTTTCAGTTCAAAATATTTTTTCATATGCTTATTAATTTATTTAGGAAACAAAGAGTACAATACAAACATAATATTTAAAAAAATAGCTAAAACAATAACCAAATATGTTTCCACAATCAAAATCACATATAGGTAGAAAGTGAACAGAGAAGAGAAATTTAGAAATATAAGTTACAAAAAAAGAAAAGCAACACAATACGCACATATTATTTTGTACATCAACTTACACTATAAAACTATAATATGTACTCATCGGACTAAATCACCATATAAATGTTTTAAAATAGCTGTTTATCGAAGTATGTACTCCTTGCTTACGAAGTACAACCAAATGTTTGTATTGAACAAACAAAAAATGAAAACATAATTAATACCACGACCTTTCCGTATACTCAAAATCAGTCAAAATATATTTCGCAATATAATTTATTGTGCACTTTTTTACTTACTATTGTCATTATAATCGAAGTCAATGAACTAAGTAATTATGTAAGAAGACCCCGAAGTATTTTCCTACGATCACCAAGGAAATGACTCACAGCATTCAATTGATGGTTAAATGATCGGGAAAACCAAACGGAAATATAATCTATGGCAATTCTAATTATCCAATTTAGTTTCATACCGTATTCGTAATGAGCATGTTAGCAGTTACGAGGTCCACTTTTAAATAGCAATACAACTTTGACTCGCGTTCATATTTGTTTTTAAGACCCAATTTTCATAGTTGCAAAAATGTCAGTACTAAGCTTATTCATGTTGTATTCTGTTTGTCGATGTTGTATTTTTTCCCGCTCAATCCACAAACTGCCTACGCAAATGTAATTCAGCATGGTTTCGATTGACGTTCATGTCTATTATAACTATTAATCATTTTGTGTGTTTTCGTGATTTTTTTATACCTTTTTTTGTGTGTGATGGTTGTCGATTCTCCTCAGCTTATCTTCGCGTTGACTGGGCATGTGTGATATGAGACTGTCGGATCAACCCATTAAGCGCCCCATAAAGTTCTCGTAGCTCGGAACCTCCTATCTACCGCGTTAACCGAGGTCAATAATACAAGACGCGCGGGTCGGTTTTTGCGTCTACCTTCAACTTTCTTTTCTCGAAATACCTACCTACAGCTGTGTTATGGTATTTTTTTTCAGTCTTTGCGAGTCGCGGACATAATCATACTACTATTTCGGTTTCACCTCACGTTTTTTATAGCCATTGTATTATTTCCGACTTTTCCAATACCTACGTTATAGCTTTCGTGGTAACAGACGACTCAAGGCATCTTAGGTATTTAAATGAAAGTTTTATGGTTACTTACACGATATACACTTGTAGTGGAATTCATGTCGTAAAAGCAATTAATAGATTTATCAGAGAATGAGCACCGACGTTCTTTGAGTACTATTACATTAGAATACCGAGTTTGCCAACTCCCATTAAATTTGTTTGTCATAATATTCAGAATGAGTTTCTCTCTCTCATCACAGAGTTTATCTGCTCAATAAATAAGCACGAGAAAAACAAATACAAAAAGAGTAGTTAATTTTTTTTGTTATCAGTCATAATTCAAGAAAGATCCTAATTGATTTCGTAATTAGTGGCCTATATAATATATTCGTTTATTAGGTATGAATCATGAATGTTTAATTGATTGTCTAATTATAACCATACTATTATCCCGCCCGTACTCGCGTGGACTGCACCATATCGCGTGAGTGGAGTCCCGTGATCAGCAATGGAATGAATACTGGCCTATATTCTCACTCGGGGTCCAAACTATTTCAATACCGTTTTCCCTAAAAAACGGTCCAGTGATTCAGGCGTGAAAGTGTAATAGGAAACAGAAGTGCCTGTGTATTGTAACTTCTAGCGTGTATCAGTGACAAAGTAAATTCCGAAAATAAGCGATACATTTTATTCACGATAGTTAAAGTGAAACTAATATAATCAGCTCCAAATAAATGGCTGCCCACTTATTAAAACTACATAAAAATAAGATAAGTAGTCCCGGAGATGTGTGTGAACAAACACACAGTCAGATAGAACACAATTATAAAAACTACATACTGGTTGTTTTATATTATAAATATTTTCTTTTGTTACTTATTCCCCCCTGTCTATTACTATTTTTTTCAATTTTAATTATTCATCATTATCCTGCCCTTCTCCCAGTCATCTGGGGTCGGCGCAACATGTTTTCTCCTTCCATACTCTTCTATCATATACCATTTCTTCGCTCACACCCTTCTTACCCATATCGTCTTTCACACAATCCATCCATTTCTTCTTAGGTTTCTCCATCCATTTCTTCAATTTTAATTATTCTGTTTATTTTATTTTTAGTTATTTACTGCATGTGATTTTTAGTAGTTACATAGACATCACTATGTGAATACCGCCATCCATCTGGATGTATGAGTTCTAAGTCTCAATTGAATATTAAGGCGATCACGCCCTATAAACTTAACAAGATGCGTGATTTTTCACTGATTGTTTCACTCCAAATAAAACATAATATGTTTTATTATATTATATCAAGTTCGACTATTGAATTAGATTTTATTTAATTGAAATTCTTTTTGTTCAATTGTGGGACATTTTAGACTATTGGTTCAATTATAATGTTTTTTTTGACATAAAATATCATCGATATTCAATGTTAATGATGCATTTGATTGTAGTTGCAAATTCACCGGAAGCTTAATACCCAATGACGTATGAATCAATACCTTCTACAGCATTAGTCAGCCTTATCAGTGGGTGTGTACAATTGATCAGTAGATTTTTACATAAATATTGGAACCGGTGTCAGGCGCCAGAGCATTCGTTCATTGTCACGGTCGGGCCTCACGTAACACAGACACGCAGAATTCGCCCAGTCTCGTAGCAAACACCGCGTCGTTCGCACGCACGTTAGTTAGCTCTTTAATTATTTAACATAAACAACAGTTTACTTAACTACAACTGTGTCTAGTTAGTGGAAAACGTGTTTGATGTGTGTGACGTAATTTCTGCAGCGTTTAAACTGTTATTTTTGTCAGAAATAGCACGCGTTCCAAGGTTCGTACCTACTCATTGTGATTTATTTAGTCCGTTGGTTCGTGATGTATGGTTTTCTACTGATTCTAATGTGGTTTAAAAAGTTATTATAAGCCAAGGCTATTTTATGAGGCGATTGAAATAAAACGTTTCGTCAATGATATTAACATCGGTACCTTGACCTTATGAATTTGATTTGTATTTTTACAATAAGGCTGTTTTGACTATTCTTCTTAGATTGTCGGATTGTTGTTTGTTTATAACTATAAAATCCTTAATAATTCTTAAAGTTACGATATATATTTGGTATAAAAATTGAGAGGAACGTTGAATGAGCAAGTTTACATTTAAAAAAAAAAACACGACTGACAAGTTTTTTTTATCAGATCACGCGTTTGAAACTGAGAGTGTCAACTTGTAAATGTTAAACGAAATATTACATGTTTTTTTTTTACCCTTCGTTCATAGAAGTGTCTAGCCTATCACTAAATAGGCTGCCAATGGCGATACGTAAAAACATTTAACGTACTATTAACGATTAATTAGTACGATATTAACGTAGTATATTATATTGTTTTTACTCTTGCTCATCTATCGGTGTAATAGAACTTACCCGCACCGCAGAATCTACAATTCCGATTCTGGAATGAAGAATGTTTATTGAGCGCTACATGTTCTTTTTCAATTGAGAATTAAAAAGTGCTTGGCGGTAACAGCTAGTGTCCCCCTAACATTGTTTACATCCATAAGCGGCGATGATCGCTCACCGGTCTGCTTTCAAAGGAAATAAAAAAAATTGTGTGGTTGCGTGGGACACCGGATAGGAACGAAGTTCCTTATAATAAAAATATTAATTTTAAGTCCTATTCGAGGTATAAAGAAAATAATTATTCGGGAATACATTTTTTATTATGATTTTTTTATTGATAAAAAAAAATAAAAAAGATATAACAAGACAAATTAATATACACTAAAAACAATAATCACCGAAATCGGTTGGCGTCATATTGAGTTATTGAGTTATTTATCTATTTGTTGCGCACGTACTTAATGCAAATTTAAGGCTTATATGGTTTTCTCATGGATACCATTATCAGAACTGAACTAAATTAAAATGCGACCACATGGAAGCGTCAGCTTTCTAATAAAAAAAGCATCATCAAAATCGATTCACCTAGTCAAAAGTTATAGGTAACAAACATAAAATCTTACGTTACGGACGTCTTTTCCCGGTTAGGGTACCCCTCCGCATCGTCCCATAGGGAACTTCGTTCCAAGAATATGTATAAATCCCGGATATATTCTAAACAGATTGATATGTGCCCATTCTCGCACCTGCATGTTCATTTGATAGCTTCGTGTTGAACTATGAGAGTTGAATCTATTCGTTAAATTTTAAATATCGATTATGTGTACTATTTCTACATTAAAAATATCTCATATTTTCATGAGATAATTTTTAGTATTTATTATACGTGTGTCGTGTTTAATTCGTTTTCCTTACGATCACCTCTATAACCGGCTTTTATTGTGCGACGTCTAATAAATGTCAAATCCAATACTTAAAATTCTATTCGACTCGAGCATCAATGTTGAATTTGTAATTATGCGGTACATCCCATCGTAAAAAGTATACACGCATAGTGTGCACCTTAAAATTCGAAGCACGTATGTATTGTAAAATAATTAAACAGGTAACCTCCTCAGTAGGTCACGGGTGTATTTTAAGCGTATAATTTCATCTCGGCCATGTGTATACTCAAGAAGAACGAGAAGCTTTTTTGGGTGGCCACGTAAAAGGAATTTGTCATTGAATTCTAAAAACGCTTTAATTATTCATTCGGATGGCTACATCGAATTATTATTGTAATCAAAAAACACGTTTTGTTTACAGATGAATAAATTCACCTTAGTTCTTGGGTTCCTGCTGCTTATAGCGGTTGTTAACGCACGGCATTATGGCGACAGAAGAGACTCTGGAAGTTCTGGAGATGATGACGAACAAAGCGACTTCAAGAAAGAAAGAGATTACCCGACCCTAAACAGACACCGTAGGAGGAGATGGCAACTAAATTATGGATATGATTATCAACCTCCCCGACATTATACCGAGAGAAGAGACTACTATCAAAACCAACAGGATCTGATCCCTCAGATATTTAGATTGCTTGACGAGCTCGCTGTTGAGGTAAGGAGGCAGCCACCACCGCCCCCACCACCGCAGCCAATTTACATTCCATACCCCGTGCCCTATTACGTGCCTCAATACGTTCCGTGTAATGTCAACCAGACAAAGAAGCCGGACATTAAACAAAGATTCCCCGATATGGAAGACACGAACCAAAATTGGGGATTCGCAACGTCGAACGAAAGCGACTACGATGATGGATTGGACGGTAAAAGACCGATCTCATTCGATAAGATTAGGCCAAAGGGTGTTATTAAAAGACCCGCACCTCCAGTCGAACATGGATCCAGTCAAGTGAGTGCCATTATCATTTAATTACAGGAAATTATTGAACAATATCGAAGCTAGGTTACAAATCTCCGAATATTTTTTTTTCTAAATCAATACGTACGTAAATGACACGTAAGAAGCCTTGAATAATTACTGAACCCTTGGAATTTACTAATTTGCGTATATATCGCCGCATCGCCCGCCACCAGAGATCTTTTGTGTCACGTACCATCCGGCTTTGGAATGAGCACCCCTCCACGGTGTTTCCGGAGCGCTATGACATATCCTTCTTCAAACGAGGCTTGTGGAGAGTACTTAACGGTAGGCAGCGGCTTGGCTCTGCCCCTGGCATTGCTGAAGTCCATGGGCGACGATAACCGCTCACCATCAGATGAACTGTATGCTCGTCTGCCTACAAGGGCAATAAAAAAAATCTCTTGGTGGATGAATGGTGATCCCGCCCATATTCGCAAAATCAGCCAGCCTATATTTTTTTTTGCATTGATCGATTGATTGCTACGAGGTTTACCTGGTCTTAAGTAGTTACCGGAGCCCATAGATATCAAAACGGAATTGCCATTGCTAAACTAAACTAGAGATGGAAGTCCCATTTGTATAGTAATACGAGGGCGTCATGTTAATCATGACGTCATCTGTGGGCGGTGATTGACGTCATGTTGTCTATAGACACCTAGCAGCAGATCGACTACAGAAATTAAAAAAAAAACAATACTACTATGAATTATTTTCCGCGTTTTTAATTTCAATATGCAAATAGCTTATTTGAAATGCTAAATAGTTCTTGATACAACGTATCGTCTTGAATTTTTGCAGACCTTTACAATATTGTTCTTAATATCAGGCTATTTATGGTTTTGAATGCAAAGTTTTGCACTTTTTTTTTCATCTCTGTCAAAATGTTGTATCCGTTCAAAACTAAAAGAAAAGGATAAATAGGAAAGTTATGTGATTATCGCAGGGTAAATCCGTCTTGACATAAAAGCTATTATCCACCTTTTCTTTATTCCCCTTGTAGGCAGACGAATATAAAGCCCACATAATGGGGAGTGGTTACTGTCGCTCTTGAACGTCAGTAATACCAGGAGCAGAGCCAAACTGCTGCCTACCATTAAGTAGAGACGTGTGGTCAAAGTTTGAATTTTATTTTTATGACAGTCACCCGTTACCCTTTGAACCGGAAGTTTCGCTTCGAAAATAAGGAAACCGGATATTTACACATCACATTACGAGCCTATTTATGACACTTACTGGTTGGTAGGACCTCTTGTGAGTCCGCGGGGGTAGGTACCGCCACCCTGCCTATTTCTGCCGTGAAGCAGTAATGCGTTTCGGTTTCAAGGGCGAGGCAGCCGTTGTAACTATACTGAGACCTTAGAACTTATATCTCAAGGTGGGCGGCGCATTTACGTTGTAGATGTCTATGGGCTCCAGTAACCACTTAACACCAGCTCGTCCACCCATCTAAGCAATAAAAAAAAAGAAAAAAACACAGAAAAATATTATTAAATTCATTTTTCTTAATTACAGAACGAAGCATCTACTAAGGCCCCAAAAATCAACGACCAAGCTGCGATCACTATGCCGAGCATGTGCCAAGCGGCAGCTCTATCTTGCTGCGGTTTCTCTGACGACAAATCCCAGCAAAAACAATGCTTCACTAACGTAGGATGCGCAATGACATATGCTAATGGAAAAGCATGTACTCTCGACGCCATAACCGAAGCACTGAATGTATTCCAAAACGCATACGCTCCCGTGAATTGAGCGCACGATTATTTCAAATCAGTACTCAGTATTACGTGTTTTATTTTTTTATTATATTCGCCGTCTCTTCAATACTAGTCTTATGTGTTAATAAGTAATATGAGCCATCTTATTTGATATTACAAGTTTTCTTATTTAGCTATCGTTAAAATTTAACAATGCAATATTGAATTTGTTTCGTTGTCGGCTTGAAGGATAAATCGGTTGCATGATCAATCAATGTGGTTGATGTTCGAGATAGGTAACGATATGATCCCGGGCGAAGATCAAAGCGCCTAAGTACATTCACGTCAGATCTGAATTTTGGATTTCCTTTCTTGAATCACAGAATCCTCGTTCGTAACGATTTTATTTAGAATAAGCCTGTTAACTTGGAGTTGATTTGAATTTCGTCTACCTGTGCTATTGTAGTTTAAAGTATCTTGTTTAAATATTCACTTTAGACTTTAATGCCATATGTTAATGTCTGTTTTAGCTGTTCCATTTCATACTTTATTATTCGGATGGCGAACGGCATTATAAATCACACGAACTTATTTATGTGTCAAGAAATAAGTTGATGACACATCCTAAAAGATTTATAATGTAAACTATAAACTTCTTTAAATATTATCTTATTAATGTATAGTTTGAATGCGCTTACACTTCATCTGTTTACACGAACACAAAAGCCGTTTTAATACACATGGAAAATATTGAGTGTGTCGCTTCGTAGGTAAGCCTGAATTTAAATTAAATCATATTGAAAGGAATCCTTCGCCATATTATATGCGTTGTAAATAATGAAGGCAGCAAAAAAAATCATTTATAGAACATAAAAGTAGGACTATAATGCAAACATTGTCACGCAAATTATCGTAACTGTAATAACTTAAAATATTGCAGTGTTTTGCGAATAAGAAACTACATGCTTATAATGTGCTGTGCTAATATTTCTTGATTATTGGCATAGTTTTCGTATTAAAACACAAGTCGTTTCATCAGCATTTATGTTTGTAACGCTACTACCAAAATTTGGAGCGATTTCCTAGTCTGTAATAATTTTAATATAGTCTTTAAGAAATAAAGCTAGCGTTGTTAACATTAACATTTATTTTATTTGCAAGATCATCGCGGCTTCTTATCGTATTCGTAGTAACTGAGGTGGATCATCGTCAATTGGTATCCATTTTTTTTTTCTTACCTTTACTTGGTCTTTACCCGGTCTTTCTGCTGGTGTCCTAAGAGGCTATTCAGCTACGCCTGGAAGGGTAGGTGAGCTCACGAGCTGAGAAAATTTGCTAACACTGGCCCTAGCAAGAACAGTGCTTCGCAGAATCTACCACCTGATCGGAATCACGACTCGCTGAGATAATCCGGCGAGTAACTCAGTCGGTATTCACTATAGGCTACGTGACGACCGTGAGGACTTGTATTTGATGATTTTCTTTTAAGAATAAGTATATTCTTTCATTGTCACGCAAGTATCAGTGTTGGCTTTGTAAGCTACTATAGAACCCGGGCCACGTTTCGCTGTGACTGCTTTTTGAATGCGTAATATAAACACCTTTTTTAAATTCAACTACCACGCCACCTGTTGTTGATGGTACTATGACTTTCGTAATGTGACAAGAACAACAAAATAGGTACACTTTAATCTTAATAAAGAAATGAATCAAACGAAAACGCGTACCTTTCTTCAGTTTTTTGTATTAGAAAATGAGAATAATGCTCGAATCGTTTCATTATTTCTGCTTATTAAATACTAAATTATTAGATTAGATTTAAGCATGTAGTGCGAACGCCCCGATAAATATTAATATAAAATATCGCTAGCAATAAACTATGAATTCAATAAAGAAACAATAGTGCAAACACCGACTTCTATGACCTAAAAAGATAACAGATGCGTTGACTCAGGAAGCAAATGCATTGTATTCGATGCAAGATAATCATAATTATTGTTTGCCCGTTATATTATTACGTGCATGTTGATGGTAGCTCTGTGGAAAAACGTGTGATGTATAATTAGTATTAGATATTATGTATGCGCTGATTTTAAATCGTAGACTAGTCTTAAGGTTTGTAAATGACAACGGTAGCCCTGGTAATAACGCAAGTATGTACTAATTTATTTATTTATTTATTAGGTACATTACGAGCTAAAAAAGAAGACATATAGAAGAATACATAAAGAAGATATACACAATAAATAACAATAAGTTAAAATGTTGGCTTGTAACATAAGCCTAGTTACTAACTGTGCGTTTGGAAAATGTGATATTATGAACAAGTGTCAAAATACAATAGAACCTCACATAAATTAGTTATTATTAAAGGGCTTAAGTGAGCACTCGAAGAAGTCGTCGTGTTCTAAGGGATAAGACGTTCGCAAATCGTGTACAAATCCTGCAGGCGGGTACCAATTTTACTTAATAAAAAATGTAGTCAACATAATAATATGCTTACGAATGACTCTCGCGATGATAATTAATAAATTATTGTTGGACATCTTGTGAGTCCGCACGGGTCGAATCACCAGCCTGCCTATTTCCGCCCTGAAGCAACAATGTGTTTCGATTTGAAGGATTCCTACCCAATTGTTATACTACACATTCGAGACATAAACCTTGCGTGGGTGGAGGCGTCTACCCGTGCGATCTTCTATTAGCCATGTCAACAACACTTAACCTAGTCATAATGATTTAATTATTATTATCATATTCATAATTATTATCGAAAGTCATGCTTATTGATAGGGCCAGTCAACTCATTAGGACGGGTGTACTCTCGAACGTAGAATTTGTTGGCGAGCTTATTTACCTCTGATCTCTACTTACTGACCAGGGAGTAAGCGAACGGAAGATCAAGAGAAGGACTCGAATGGCCAAAGCTGCGATGAGCAAGCTTACGCGTATTTGGCAGGATAGAAAAGTCTCCAATGCTACCAAGATGAGACTAGTCCGGACGTTGGTTTTCTCGATTTTTCTCTATGGTGAAGAGTCGTGGACGATTCGAGCAACAGAGCGGAATAAAATAGAAGCGTTAGATGTTGGCGAAGAATGCTCCTCATACCGTGGACCGCCAAGAGAACAAACAAATCTGTCCTCGAACAACTTCGCATAGAAACGAGATTGTCTACGATTTGCTACCAAAAGGTTCTTGCTTTCTTTGGTCACATTGCTCGGCGGCCACCAGACAACCTTAAAAAATTGGCTGTGGTGGGCAAGGTAGAAGGGAAAAGACCCGCCGGCCGGCCGCCAAACCGTTGATCAGATCAGGCAACTGCGCTCATCGGACTCTCTGTTGCGACCGCCCCGAGAGAAGCCGAAAACTGAACGAAATGGAAGCAGACGGTACAAAGATCCACGAAGGCCTTTCAGAGACACGACCTCCAGCAATGAAGTATGCGACTAAGAAGAAGAATAATTTAAAAACTGAATCGGGTAAACTAAGTCGGGTAATGGCAGGATAATAAATTATGGAAGACAGAGAATTAGTGACAATATCATAAGAAGGTCGTGTGTTAAATTCTTTTTTTTTTTTTCTTTTTTTTTTTATGATTGAAAGTTTACTGGTGGCCCGAAGGCCTTTCCAGTTTCACCAGGACGGGTGGGCGAGCAAAGGCTCAGCCAAGAGGGGCGGGATTTGCTAACAACTGCCCGAGCGCCTCCGAAGGAGACCTAACAACTCAAGAGCAATTGTTTCGCGAATGAATCTACTACCGGATCGGAATCGCGACCCGCTGAGAAGATCCGGCGAGAAACTCAGCGGGCTGATGCATAGGTTAGGTTGCACGTCGACCTCTTTGTCGAGTTCGACGAGTACGGTTACCGGGGTCCCTAAGCCTGCCCCTAGTATTAGAGCTGAAGGCATCTAATGCAAAGGTTATTGGATCTGATGGATCCGTAAGGACGTGTCTAGGGCGTCGACGGTGACTGGCTCCTGCATGATCAGGATTCGGGGAGTAGTCAGCGGCGGCAACGATAAGGCGATTATCATGACGCATAGCCTTATCGAAGTATCGTTCCGACGCTGACTTCATGTATTTCCGAATTGCTTCGAGGCCCAGGTCGTCGTGTAGGTCAACGTTCCTCACGAACCACGGAGCCCCGACAGCTAACCTGCAAAAGCGGGATTGTAGGGATTGGAATGTTAAATTCTGTTCAGTTGTTGGACGATGTAGTATCATCAAGTTTTATGTTATAAGCCGTGGCACATCCATTTTGCCAATTTAATTTAAGCTTCATTTTGGAGAGTATCAGCATAATCAGTAACATTTATTGGCCATGAATGAGTTAGTAAAACATAACGATATCTTGAGAGCGCACATTTTACGGTTAATCACCACTGCATTCTGGGCGTCGTGCCAATACATTGGTAAAATAAATAAATAAAACACGTGAAATATGTTTTTATTGGCTTTTACTAAATGTCGTCATGAATTCCGCGTTATAAGTGGCTGGCATCCAAGTTTTAATACGTAGAAGTGATAGACATGAGAAAGATAAGAAAGATCAGTGACTTCAAGAAGTATAGGGCTTTTAAATAGGGACGCTCGAACTTTGACAGCTCATAGCGGCCATCTTGGTAAAATGATAGCTGTAAAATTTGGCATGAACACATATTTAGTCGTGACATTTCACCATGGAACGCTACACGCTTGTCCGGCGATATCATCGCCCCTTATTTAACTAACAAACTTTTTGTGGCCCTAGGATAGATGGTATGGATCTCATAAACATATGGTTCCAACGGGACGGCGCCACTTCCCACACAGAATGGGAAATATTAAATTTATTGGATGAGAAATTCGAAGGCTACGCGAAATCTCTAGTCTATGCAGACAACTCAGTCTATTGCCGCCCTGAAGGCCAACATAACTCGCGCTCTTCGTGTAATTGAGCCCCATTTATGTGAAGTTGTCATACAAAATTAGTCTACCAGAATACACCGCCCACAGCGGAGTCTCAGCGGTCATTTTACTTTATATTCCATAGACAATGTCATCGAATACCCTTTAAAATAAAATAAAAATTGTGGCAATGTCACTTAAACAGGTTTTTTTATTTTCGAGCGCGTACATCATATACTTAATAATATTTTGTCAATTTGAGAATGATTGGACCATAACATTCACATTTTCGTTCAGCGTTAGGAGTTAACTTCGATTGAAGTATTTTTTGGCACGTCAATGAGACTCGAGACTCGAATTGTTCCCATAAATACATTACATTTACAGAAGCCATTGTGGATCGCGAATACGACGCAGTCACACGTGTTTGTTAGGCGGAGTCGATTAGGCAGTGATCTAATGAGAAGATAATAAAAAAAAGTTCTGCAAACAGAAAGAGAAAACAGACAGCACCGTCCCGCCTATTTCTGCCGTGAAGCAGTAATGCGTTTCGGTTTGAAGGGTGGTGCAGCCGTTGTGACTATACTGAGACCTTAGAACTATATCTCAAGGTGTGTGGCGCATTTACGTTGTAGATGTCCAGTAACCACTTAACAACAGGAGGGCTGTGAGCTCGTCCACACATCTAAGCAATAAAAAAAAAAAACTTAGGTACAGTGTAGCAACATCAACTCCCATCTTAAAATTCCATTAAGGAACATTAGCGCCAATTTTATTTTAATATCGGAATACTCAGCGCATTGTTAATGGCGATGGATATTAACGTTGTCCGTCAGTATGGCCCCGGCCTTGGATAAATTCGTATGCATCATCACTGTGATTCAAGTCAAGTTTATATGAATGAGTGTAGCCATCTTATGTACCTTTGTTTCCGGTTTACCTACTGGACTTCGACTGCTACTTAAATTCCTACTGTATATGAATGAGTAGGTGAGAATGACACAAAATTCTTTGAACGTAAGAATATCGTAAAATTTAATATCGCAAAATTATCATTTTTATTTTAATCATAAAATAATAAAGGGTTCCAATTTGGGACAGCCTGTATACTTTTATAAAGAGACGAGGGACCAGCACGAATGACTATCGATAAAGTATTTGTATCGCTATCGACAAAAAATATATAGGATTTAAGCAGCGACCCTACTGATCGTACTGATCTCATGTTCTCTGAGGTGGCATCCACGCTATGA